TGAAGACATTAGTAATTAAACAAAAATTGAAGACATTAGTAATTAAACAAAAATTGAAGACATTAGTAATTAAACAAAAATTGAAGACATTAGTAATTAAACAAAAATTGAAGACATTAGTAATTAAACAAAAATTGAAGACATTAGTAATTAAACAAAAATTGAAGACATTAGTAATTAAACAAAAATTGAAGACATTAGTAATTAAACAAAAATTGAAGACATTAGTAATTAAACAAAAATTGAAGACATTAGTAATTAAACAAAAATTGATAACATTAATAATTAAACAAAAATTGGAAACATTAGTATTAAACAAAAATTGAAAACATTAGTAATTAAGCAAAAATAGAAAACATTAGTAATGAAACAAAAATTGAAAACATTACTAATTAAATAAAAATTAAAATCATTAGTAATTAAATAAAAATTGAAAACATTGGTAATGAAACAAAAATTAAAAACATCAGTAAATAAACAAAAATAGAAACCATTAGTATTAAATAAAAATTAAAAACATTAGTAAATAAACAAAAATTGAAAACATCAGTAAATAAACAAAAATTAAAAACATTAGTAATTAAACAAAAATTGAAAACATTAGTAATTAAACAAAAACTGAAAACATTAATATTAAACAAAAATTGAAGACATTAGTATTTAAACAAAAATTGAAAACATCAGTTAATAAACAAAAATTGAAAACATCAGTAATTAAGCAAAAATAGAAAACATTAGTAATGAAACAAAAATTGAAAACATTACTAATTAAACAAAAATTAAAATCATTAGTAATTAAATGAAAATCGAAAACATTGGTAATGAAACAAAAATTAAAAACATCAGTAAATAAACAAAAATAGAAAACATTAGTATTAAATAAAAATTAAAAACATCAGTAAATAAACGAAAATTAAAAACATTAGTAATTAAACAAAAATAGAAAGCATCAGTTAATAAACAAAAATTAAAATCATTAGTAATTAAATAAAAATTGAAAACATCAGTAAATAAACAGAAATTAAAAACATTAGTAATTAAACAAAAATAGAAAACATCAGTTAATAAACAAAAATTAAAGACATTAGTAATTAAACAAAAATTTGAAACATTGATAATTTGCAAAGATCGGAAAGTTTGAGTATAAGTTGCTATAAAATACGAAGTGTGCGATGTTGTTACGAATGTTCGGTAAACCGGAAACAAAGGAATAGGAATAGAAATGTTGAAACAGATTGCACAGTGAGCACATCCTTCTGGAACGTGCGTTGACCCGTGTTACAATGGCACAAGGTTGTTACAACGATTCGACATTGATAATGAAACGCAGGTACATCGAACTAATGGCAGTGCCCCGTTACTTCCGGGCGCACCTAACTTCATTTAGCTTGTACGGTTAGCTTGTTCGGATACACTAAAATTACATTACCAATTTGAAATAACAAACTGGACGAGTGGAGTCCTTGATTTATTTAACAATCGACATTACCTCTGCATTTGTCTTCTCGTTCTGTAGTTACTTAATATTCCCAGAAACAATGATTTGTTTGATTTGATCCTTAATGTAATGATACCATAGTGATCCTTACATAAATAATTCATTAAAAGTTTAATTGAAAAAATTTTTTAATGCCCCATTTTTTATCTCATTAGCAAGAAGATTTAGAAATCTAGAAAATGAATATGAAAAATTATAGTAAAATATATCTGATAAATGGTGGAGAAAGAGTTAATCAATCAATTGCTTTAAGTAAAAGGAGTTTTCTCCAATAAAAAGACCTAACGATTATACTTTCACATATGTGTATGATTATTTCAAGATTTCTTGTTATCTGCAGAATTGCACGTTCTGTCAGCCCATTGAATAAATCACATTATTAACGAGAAGTCTTGAGCGTTAAAAATAAACAACATTGTAAAAAGGTATAAAAATAAAAAGAAACAATCGGTATGCTATATTTAAGTATATGCCTTGAAGTTCGTCGGTTCGTTTACATATTTCAGTCCACGCGCAGGCATAAATCCGTTGTCTCGTTAATTTGAATTTGGGTGCCGAGGATTCCGTTACTTCTTCGTTTCGAAGGCAAACAAGAAAATTTCCATCGGCCGTTTTATGACGTGAAAGTGCATCTCTCCTTCGTCCCAATTTCAATTGTGTCCCACATGATTTACCTGTCGCGTCCTGCGGCAACCGTAATTTCATTAGCGCCTTGATGAGAAGGTGAAAACGACCGTGTCTAATATGACACGGTTTAATAAGAATTATGACGAGTCGCTATACCACCGACGCCACAAATCATGTACAGAGGATCTCATTATCGTACTGTTATACAACCATCCATAATTCAAGTTCAAGTTCAAATGGGAATAGATTTAGATCTGACTTATGTTGTTTAACTTTGCCTAACATAGTTACTTTTGTAACAATCTTGGTAACCTAACATTGTTACCCAGGTATAAATATGTAGCTCGATAATTTAACCTAACATTGTTACTTTTGTAACAATCTTGGTTACCTAACATTGTTACCCAGGTATAAATATGTAGCTCGATAACTTAACCTAACATTGTTACTTTTGTGACAATTTTGGTAACCTAACATTGCTAGGAAGGTACAAATACGTAACTTGGTAACTTAACCTAAATGTCAAATTTATTTTGTTAACCTGATGTAATTCAGGAATCTAACCACACTTAATAATAAGTTGAACATAATGTAACAATTTCAGTTAACAACTATGAATGATAGGACCAACTATATCTCTTATTAACGCAACCTAGCTTAACTTTATAGCCTAACTTAATCAAATTGACTTCAATAAAGAACATAACGTCTCTGAAGCTACCATAACGTACCTATCCAACTTCAACTTACAACTTCATGAACCAAAGATATTTATCCTTGCTTACTAATAACCTAACCTGACCAAATCGATTTTAATACAGAACATAACCTCTGTGAAATTATCATAGCCTACCTACCCAACTACAGCTTAGAATTTCATGAATCAAAAGTATATATCTTTGCTTACTAATAACCTAACTTGACCAAATCGATTTTAATACAGAACATAACCTCTGTGAAAGTACCATAACCTACCTACCCAACTTCACCTCACAATTTCATCAATCAAAAGTATATATCTCTCTTCACTTACAACCTAACCTACCCAAATAGATTTAAATAACGAACATAACCTCTCTGCAACTACCATAACCTTCAACTCACTCACCCAAATTCAGCTCACAATTTGCTCGCAGTTCACAATGAATGAAAAGCATTTATCCTCATATTTGCATTCAAGTGATAAATGTTTGAACAAAAACGAGTACACAGATGGAACGATAAAATCAAAGAAAATTTGCGTAAATATATGTTTGAAAGGAAAGATCGGATATCTATTTATCCGGGTTTCAATCTCATCCCACATTTCCGCCTGTATGCACCTCCTACACCGTTTCATTCACCGAACGTAAGCCCCGTCTGACATTTACGTGGTTCATTCACCGTGTGTCAATTAACACGCGCACGGATCACGCGAGCAGATGCTTGTTCTTGTTAATTAAGGGCTTCTCTAATTTATACGCCGTCTCATTTGCGTCTTATCGCAACGTACTAAACGAGCGATTTAGTAATAGGAGACAAAGAAGATGACGCGTGGGCGGTTTCGGATGCTGCGCGCGTATCCCGTTGACGTATATAACACACACGTGCGCGGATGCGACATCGAACTTATATGCGTATCACTTTGCATATAAGAGGTCACACGTTGATATGATAACGGAAGGAGAAATGGGTGGATATGTGAATAGGCGAATGGAGAGAAGTGGGGGGTTTTGGGGTGTTTGGGGAGTTGCAAGGTGTAGAGTTAAGGAGTTGGGAATTTGGGAATTTGGGGATTGGGAAAATTTGGAAATTGGGAGTGTGAAAATTTGGGGGTGTAGAGATCTGGAAATTGTGGAATTGGGGTGTGTAGAAATTTGGGGATGGGAGAATTTGGAAATTTAGGAATTGGGGTGCGTAGAAGATTGAAGATTGGAGAATTTAGAAATTTAGGAATTGGGGTGCGTAGAAATTTAGGGATGGGAGAATTCGGAAATTAAGGAATTGGGGTGCGTAGAAATTTGGGGATGTGAGAATTTGGAAATTGAGGAATTGGGGTGCGTAGAAATTTAGGGATGTGAGAATTTGGAGATTTAGGAATTGGGGTGCGTAGAAATTTGGAAATTTAGGAATTGGGTGCGTAGAAATTTGGAAATTTAGGAATTGGGTGCGTAGAAATTTGGAAATTTAGGAATTGGGATGCGTAGAAATTTGGGGATGTGAGAATTTGGAAATTTAAGAATTGGGGTGCGTAGAAATTTAGGGATGTGAGAATTTGGAAATTAAGGAATTGGGGTGCGTAGAAATTTGGGGATGTGAGAATTTGGAAATTTAGGAATTGGGTTGCGTAGAAATTTAGGGATGTGAGAATTTGGAAATTAAGGAATTGGGGGATGTGAGAATTTGGAAATTAAGGAATTGGGGTGCGTAGAAATTTGGAAATTTAGGAATTGGGGTGCGTAGAAATTTGTAAATTTGAGAATTTGAAAATTTAGCAATTGGGGTGCGTAGAAATTTGAAAATTTAGGAATTGGGCTGCGTAGAAATTTGTAAATTTAAGAATTTGTAAATTTAAAAATTTGATAATATAGAAATTTGGGAATGTAGAAATCTAAAGATGTTAAAATGTTAAAATTGGAACTATATGACCCACAGAATGTATAATAAAGTTTCTAAACATTGTTTCTATAAGTGTGTCAGTTCCCGAAGCCCACGTTTCCCCGAGAAACCATTTGTTAGGTCTTCTTTCTTAAATAAGAGACGCCCCATTAATTGTTCGTCCGGTCTCGTATTTCATCCGAGATTTAACGACGCCAGGTTGCATCCTCATTATCATCGAAGATAAATATTGTTCGCCGTCGGCATTGTCCTAACGTAGGCCGATATTTCATTTCAGAGTCCTGGAACGTTGCACAAAGATGTCGGTGGTGCTGGTACCAAGGTCAGCGGAAAAACGGTCGGCGGTATTGGCACTGCAACCCTCACCACGCTCTCCTCCATTAATAATACATCCAACACCAGCAGGAACAAGAACAATCCCGTATCCCAGGAGGTAAGTGAAAATTTTCTATACCTTCAATCGTTTTACTATTTCCAAACCGGTAGGGTCACAAATCTCGATACTTCACTCGAATATCTTAGAAAGTTAAACATTTTGTTTGAATTTATAGAAAGTGTAACTACACTGAAAATGTAGGACTTTTAGAAATTCAGGAATTTGTAAAATTTAACAATTTTAGAATTTCCAAACTGACGTAGGGTTAAATTGAACTTAAATCGATCTTGGTCCAACAATTATAAATTAATATCTCGAAAGATCAGTTCACCTAAATCTAAAATAACCAACTTACACTCAAACTTATAATTAACAAAATCATTTTCCATTAACATAAAGATATCAGTTTCTTCCTATATACAAAAATAACAAGTTTCATATTAGTGATCATTTATCTGTATGCCAACTATCTGACAGCCGCAACGAAAGTAATAAAATTCTGACTCCGGTATCTTCACCAAAGAAATTCTTCCAATTCCTTTAAATTCTCAAAAGTTATTCAGTAGCATGTACAAGGTGATACAAGGTTCAGGACATAATTACCCTCGATCGATCTCGTTGCCATGCACAGAATTGAGTAACTCGCCTTGACTTCGAACGTCTGCTGTTAAAAAATTGGAACAGGTCGAAGAGGTTCGACCACTTTCGATCGATCTGAACGTTAATAACGTCAGTTTCAACACTGACTCCAAAATGCGTCACCTTTCATGTAACTATAATTAAGAAATTCGTAAATACGTTGTTTCATACCCTCGTCCCCAAAAAGAAAATCCATCGATCAATCTATAATACATATACAGGAGAAGTATTATTTTTAATTACATCGAATCACTCAATTTCATCCGTCGATACCGTGTAGTGGAATCAATGTGAAAAGTATCTTTGCGCGTTGTAATTTCGATGCGTTGAGTTTTCGATGCGTTGTAATATCGACACGTTGTAATTTCGATGCGTTGTAATTTCGG